CTAGTATCTCAGGAAGTTCGCTTTAGATTAGTCCTATATCTATATATTAAGCTAACAGTGCAAAACAATATCTATAATAAAACCATAATAATAAAATTAGATATATTAAACATTCTAACCAGTACTGTTAATGAAAATAGCAATAAAGAAATAATACTATAACGTACGGAATACACAAACATTAGCTGTTGGAAGCCCATATTCGCTGAAAAGTAAGATTCCATGTTAATGGCATTTATCGAGGAGTCCAATACTACAAAATAAGTGTAATGGATTATGTATGCACATATCTACAAGACAAAATTACTAAACCAAAGAATACACACACACACACACACACACACACATATATATATATATATATATATTGATTATTGTCACAAAGTTTTACATGTTACTTCTTTTAAATCATGCTGACGTTTCCTGTGTTTGGAAACGATCTTTCTAATAAAAAGAAAAGTTTTTTTAGGCTTGCAACTACACTTTGATTTTATTGCATTGTTCTATAACATAATTTGTAATTGATGCTACATGCTAAAAATACTTCTCCTCTTGTAAACGTTCAAACGTTTTAAAAAGTCAGTATGGTTTATTATATGAAAAAGGAGTAAAAACTGTGTAACTTTGCCAATATATCTGTATCTAAAACAGTGGTAAAGTTTGTTCTTCAATGACTTGTATGAAGAGTCAATACCCACTGATGTCTCAATGATAAGCTTCAGGGTTTTTAACACTAAAAATCAACACTGCTGTGCCACTGCAGATAGCGCATTGAGTAGCTTTGTGTTTAAACATAAAAAAGCAAATGACGTCTGTAGTCTGTAGTAACATTCTGTTATCTGTTAATCACTTTCAGATTAAAAAAGAAGTTACCATTTATTTAATGTTTCTTAATGGCTTCATTATGTACATCATCATATTTACAGTAAGCTTTTACAAAATGAGGGTTTTAAGTTTTTATGGAAAGTCCCCCAGTGAGGCAGTGGTAAGTTTATAGACTTAAATCGCTAAAATATGGGGTTCTATTCCCCGTGCTGGACACAGCAGATAGTCCAATGTGACATTGCCCCAAAACAGACAAAACCTTATGGAAATGACAACAACAGTATTATTTTTAGAAATTAATATTATGCGAGTTCAAATGAAGCAATATTAAAATGTTATTTTACAGAAAATGATTATAGTACTTCATTATTACATCTGCCTTATTTTATGGCATTCATAATCCACCTCGTGGGAGCTCATTGGTAAGTTCAATGGCTTATAATGTTAAAATTTGGGGTTCGATTCCTGCAGTGGACACATCATATATATAATTCGTTATGTATTTTACTTATGCAACAAACGTTCTATTGTTTTCTCAGACTTTACTTTCTGATTATGTGCCATCCCAAGGACACTTGTAGGAACAAACATTTTCTAGGTTTTTCATTCTTTATTTTGTGATCATGTGCCATCTCATGAACGTAAAATGCTGTCATCAAGACACGTGGTAGTGTGGTCAAAACAACCTGCTGCAGGACACGCTGTGTGTTATTAACAGGAGTGGTAGTTTAGCGATTTTCCACCTCCTGTATCTCGGACTGTGGTAATCCAAACTATCACATATTATCAGTGGATGTGCTCTACTGGACTGTTACTTCACCTACCAAATTTCAAGGCAATCTATTAAGAAATATCCGAGATATAACATCTCCAATTTTGATTGACTTTCTTCCTATATTTTTTCTTCGCACCAAAAGTACGGGAATTTTATTTGGTAGAAAAACATACTTAACTTTCATGGATTTCTTTCAAATGTAGTACACCGATAGATCTTTTCAACCTAGAATTATAAGCCACATGTGCAAAGTTACTCAACAAAAACAGGTCATATTTGATCAAAATTTGTGCTCACGCCTCCACAAAAAGTCACATGAGCTATCGATCTAACATTTTTTGTCGCTCAGATTAAAAACTGCTGATTTAGAGCAGCAAAACTGTAGGGTGAAAGCAAGTGCAGATACATAAGTATTGGTTAGGCCATGCAAACTAGATTAATAGTTTCCAGCTCAAGGTTTCAAAAGAATCATCCGGATGGACGGTTATAATTGATTATTCATTGCTAACTTTTCAACACAAATTGACCAAATTTTATGAAATGACCCTAATCACAGAGCGTTTAGCGTCACGTGATATTAGCATAAATAATGATGCTTGATAATGTTGTACGGATTGCATGGAGGTGATGACAAGAAACTGTTAATCTAAATTCGATGGCATTACAATAAAGGAAGCTATTAACACTGTTTTATGGAGGAAAAACTACCACCCTATACTTTAAAGAATTTGGTTAGTTCTGTAAAGGTCTCTTCCGAATATTAGGGTTGCGATCTTAAAACTAATGTGTGTTACTATCGAGTATCACTTTCTTATTCGCTGTGGTGTATTGGTATGTATCGATAAAAAGTCATGATATCTAATCAAAAACACCTTAGGTGTGAAAAAAAGGTGCGGCCAAAAACATATTAGGTGTGCGACTTAAAGGAATGAAATCAAACTATTGGCTAAACTGGTAAATACATTTATAGCACTGATGAGAATTTTACAGCAAATATTTATTCATTAGTTAGCTAGGCCACGTATTTTGTTTTACCCACCATCATGCCCCAAGTTGAACAAAAAAACGTGGCCTGGCTAATTAACGAATGAATGTTTGCTGTAAAATATTTATCAAAGCTGTAAGTGTAGCTACCAGTTTGGCCCCCAATTTTGATTTCATTCCTTTAAGTTGCACAAAATTATCCTTTTCTGGCCACACCTTTTTTTCATACCAAAGGTGTTTTTGAATAGTTAGATAATTTTTTTTTTATCCTTCGTACATATTGAACAGTAAGAACGAGCATTTTTTATGGGGTACATTCTTGTGACATCTGGCTTTGGAAAAAAAAGAAAGTTGATAAACCATAATTTGTAGACATCTTTTTATGTACAAATGTCAGCACTGTAATCTTCTTATTGTATTTTGGCTTTCCTTTGTGATCAAATACATATCGATTATTACATATACAACTTTGTAGATTAGTTAAAGATTAAACTCAACTTTTAACATTTAGGAGGTGTTTTACTAACCAGTACTGGTCTCCATTTTAATGTCTTCAAGCTTCATTTCAAATAAATAATGTTTGTGATTAGAAAAATTTATATTAAAATACTTTGAAATTACCTCAATAAATACTGCAGTATGAAATCATAATGTAGAAAACAATACAAGCATAAAGTGATGTTTCCACATGTGGATACACTGAACCATGAAAAAAACGTTCTACCACACATTTTAGCTGTATATGTTTACCCAACATTAAGCCAAATAACGGGTTTTGTTACAAACGAAATTTCTCAAATGTGATTGTTAGTTTTTTCTATAGATTTGCTAGTACCTTGTACTGCTTACTGGCTTCATCCTATGTAAAATGTGAAAGTTGGAGTCTTAAAATATGATGAAAAGAAAAGGATGTTGCAGAGTAAACAAGTTTTCCTGTGGTGGATAACTTCGTAGAAATTAAGAACCTTGGATCTGGTAAGTCTTTCTGACAACTTCAGTTGGATAGTGTTGGGACTATTATATGCAAGTTGCCACAACTTGTAATTTTATTAATTTAATTTCCTGATTCACATCTATGACTGTAACTAGGAAGATTTTTTGTCAAATAGCTGTATACACATATAAAAAATTTAAATTAAAAATAACATTCTAGATATCCATGGTGACTATTTCTTTTGAAAGAAAGAATATGTTACTTACATAACTTGGATACTTCTAGAGAGGGAGGGGAGTCAAAAAATCAAAAGTTGCTGGACCTGCCTTCAAAGTTTTGCCATTACGGTCAAGAGAATAGGCAAGCTCCCACAGTCAAATTTGATGGGTTTAATATTTGTAAGATTAGTTTAAGCCATACTGCAGACTTGCAGCTATGTATGCTCCATAATAGTAAATTTTGATTGACCCAAACCATGCTGTCTCATGGGATGGATCTCTGCAAGATCAGTCTCTTTGATAACCTGCTGCTGGTATTACCAGTAGGTGACAACAGATTGACCTTGATCACATTGTGTCAGGGATCGGGGAATGTCAGCAAGACCACTAAAGTCTCTTTGATGACCTGAGTGAGAATTGCCATGTCCAATATCCAAGAAGCAGCCATGGTAGCTATGTTTTTCAATATTTAGAGATTTTAAATAAAGCTGCTGCCAAACCTGGTGACTTTTATTAGAATTAAAAATTAAGTGTAATACTGTGAAGTGAATAAGAAACTTGTAAATTCATATACATATACTGTATGAATAAAGAAAATTGTATGTTGCTCATTTTATGGAGGAGGGGGGTATTTTTCTGAACTAATTATGAATAGCATTCAATGGAGGCTAATTAGCAATTATGATAAAAAATATTAATGTCAAGTTTACTGAGATAAAAAAAAAGATTTTATACTGTTCAGTAAAAAAAAATCTATACTAAATTATTAAATATGAAATTAAACAAGATCTATAAGCACATTTATAAAGAATTCCAAATTTGATCAAACAGAACGTTCAAGTATATGCATGGCACTACCTATGTTTCAAATTTCAGTTGAAAGTAGTTCAGAAAGAAACCAGGATTATACCCTTAACATGACCCTTAACATGCAAGCAGAAGAGATATTTGTTTCCGTGCCCATCAAAGAACCATTACTGGCTACCATATTTAAGTTTCAGAGATAACATTTACACTTTTAATAGTAAATTGCTGTACTCATGTCAAAACCACTTAACACATTCAATGCTAAGGGATGCACATGTGCACTTTTAGCATTCATTCACGAGTCCTCATGATGCACAGGTTTGTCCCTGACTGCCGTTTGAAATGTGCATTAAGTATATAAGTAGAATCGACAGGCAAGATCAGATGTTATCATATTATCTTTGCTTGTGAAAAACTGTAGGGTGGTATAAGAAAATTTGCATTAAAATATTACAAATGACTGCTAAATTCTTTTTATTTGTATAATCAATATTCTGGGAACAAAATGACAATGTATGATTTTTGTCTAGTGGTAACAAAGGAGCTTTCACCACCTCCAGTTGTAAGTAAATCACTTAAAGCTACAGATATTGAGCATTTACCAACAAAATGCAAAATTGGTCCAAGCAGCAAAACAATGATAAAGTGCAGATTATGCAGTGAAAAGGTAAAATGCAAGATTCAATTGATAACAGTGAAGCATGTCCAGGATCACCTTTTTTTTTGTCTGGACCTGTGCTTCAAAGTGTACCATAAAAATTTTAATGTATTCATCATGTGATACATATATAATGATAAATACCTGTTTCGATTGACTTTGTCTTTTCTTCAAATAAAATGATTTTTCCTCCATCTAGATAAATTTCTAGACACACATGTGCATCTGCAGCACTTGACTTCTATAATTTTTGTGTAATGCTGAAGATGCACATTTCCATCTTAAATAAAATATAGAAAAAAAAGGAAAATATCACACATTGTTTATTGTTATTATTACTATTGTTTAACTTGAAAATACAATGATATTGCATTAAAACTTATTAGCACCTGCCATAGTTGATGCCAAGCATCACAGCAGTTAACATGTTATTCATTCTTTCATGATTTGGATTTTACATGAAAATGTTATACCACGTTGTTTCGATTACAAATGGTTCATTTGTCCTAATTTTTGTACTTTAAATATCATGTGTCTCTTAATTTGTAAACCTGGACTTTTGAATTTGCATCATTTTGACATATCAGCAGTGAACTGTTGCTGCTGGTAATTTTTTTTAAGATTAAACATTTTTAAACAGGTTTATCAAGTAACCACTGACTTATATTTAACTTACACATATTTTAACAGTTCTATGTACAACTGTAAAATATAAGGTTGAAAATATTAATTAGTCCTAAGTCTCCCATTAACACAACAAGCAACGATAAGCAGTTAATTGTACATGAACTGGGTTTATGAATAATGGATATTGAATTTGAATTTTTAAAAACAAGTAAACAATACCTTAAACTTTTCTTCCAAATACATGACATGCCTACAAACAAAAACACTTGAATAAATTTCATAGCACCTCAAAGCAAAAATTCTGAAAATACAGTAGTAAATTTATCATGGTGAAATTTCCAAACTAATGATAAAACTTTATATCAAAATACTTGCATAAACATCTTCACCACTCATTTGATATTTAGAATACAGAGGAAACCCTAACAGCAGTTGGTGGGACAATTAAAAATACTGACAGTATTTGTTTTATTATTTTATTTTGCGTGATGCAATTTAGGTGTTATTGAGGATTACGAACTTGATGCCTAAATAGTTTAGAAAAATGTATTTATAATAATGGATATAGCAATCCCGAACTCTAATTGACAGTAAAAAAAAATTCACTAGTTCTCTATTCTCTAAATTAGATGAACAAATGGAAAAGTTTTAAGTACACTAAATTCTGGGAATTCACAGTTTTAATGAATTAAAATAATAATTGCTAAATTACAAATGTTGGTATGAAACATACTGACATTCAAGAAGCAATATAATTACCATTTATGAAAAATATTTTAAAGGAAAGAAGTAAAGGTGTGATACATGCTGCTCTGTACAAATGCACATCTCCACGTTTCAGTGACAGGAATTTCTAACACTAGCAAAACAGATGTAGGTTGCTGCTTATGTGTTAGTGGCCACAAGCTTGTATGAAGTTTGACTCTTAATAGCTTTATCAACTCCAGAATTCTTTACCTATTCTTCTTCACTGACATCAAATACTTTGCCTTTGTTATCTGGGTCTCCAAACTCTCTAATCTTCATCTTTTCATCATCAACTGTGGTAAGGTGACACAGAAGAAGAGTAACCAGTCTGTCCTTGCCTTCAAGCGCCATCACTACTGCCCCACCATCAGAAGAAAACTCGCAACATAACATGGCATGATCTGGTGTAAACACTGCTAAGCAGATACCTGTAACAAAGAAAAGTAATACTTGAAACAGGCAATTGTTGATGGATGATTTTTACAGGTCTGTAGCAACAAACGTAGCAAATTTGTTAACCTCTTCCTTCCATGACTTGTCCAAGATAATTCAGATGTTCTCCATATTTCAAAAAATATTTGCCAGAGTTAATTTGGGCAAACTATTTTTTGCATATTACAATGCATTAAAGTAGGCTATCAAAAAGCAAAAAAAAAAAACCTGACATGGAAGGGGTTAGTTTGCTATTTTACATTTCTCGATTAGTGAAGTTGACATGACAGTAAATCAGTTGCAATTTTTCTGCAGCATAATACATTTCTTAGAACTAATAAAATTTGGCATTTAGCACCTTTTGAGGAATTGCTAAAGGAATATATTAATTACTATGATGATTGCTAAGAATAGAGAGAATGTGAATAGTAATGAATTTCCAAGATTATGTGTTTACAAGATGATTTATAAAAATTACAAGTTTACTACAAAAGTACAGTGATATACTTAATCAGATATGTATTTTAAAAAAAGTCTTAAAATACACATTTCTATTTTGATCATCTCCTCTTGTGGTTATAGTGAAGTTCGAAATATAAGAACATAAAGAGATTATTAAAAACAACTTTTCAATGGGCTTTTAATGCCTTCAGACAGTAAAATTTTTTAGTACTGGAAACAACTAAAGTAAATAAAAATATTTTACCAATATAATATCTTAATCAATATAGAAAAAAAAATGAAGTATTTAAGTTATCTACTGGATTTGCTACATACAACGCTAATGGTAAGTGGTGGTATTTTCGTAATTATAATCCATTTTAAAATAGTATAAGGAATGATTTTAATACAGTGTCTATTTGAAAGCTTCAAGTTTATAAAAGTTTTCCAGATATTTTCAATAATAATTTTTTTTGTTTACAATTGTGTTATGTCT